ACGCTGAAAACTAACCTTGTATCAAAGAACACGGAATTTACGCCTTGGAGGGAAGAAAGGTTAGGGGGCGACGTTGGTGGCCAGGCGGAGGACTGCATTTCAGAGTTCAAGATGATCCGAGAAGACGAACACACGAGCACGCCGCTGTCAACCCTAAGCGTTTTCGCCTCAGATGAACAAAATCCCTAACCCTAACTCTGTTTCAAGTTTAACATGGGCCTGACCCGTTCTTAACTGCTCTGAAGCCCATTTATCTCCTAACAACATAAATTAGCATTTTTACCATTTAAACCATTTATTTCTTACTAACCTAAATTAATGTTTTCAATTAATCACTTTTTTAATACTAACTTCATTTCATTTCTTTCTTTACACTAACAAAAACTTTTTATACTAATATAATCAAGAAATAATTAGAATGATAAACCCTTTTTATGAACAAATACTTTCTTCTTTTTTCTAAGTTAATCTTTTTAATATACTTTTGTACATAAATTTTGAAACATTAATTTTGTACATATTATACATTTTTTTCCATATAATTAACTTGGAAACTTGTTTTAATAAAAATACATCCTTGTACATAATAGACAAAATTCATACTTTTTTCTAATATTAAAATTCTTAAAACACTTAATGAAAACTTTTTTTATAATAAACAATGATACATCATTTCATAATCTAATTAAAACTTGAACATTTAAGTTAAAACATTTTTCTTTTTGTACATAATTAAATATACATATCTAGGTCAAAAACCCTAATACGATTCAACTTCACATTATCGCGCTTGTACATAATTACACATACTCATATACATCTCACATTTACACTTACACAATACATTGCCCTATACACATTTTTATCTTATATTTGTATATTCGATATTTACATTTGATTGCGACTTCGATTTGGTTGTAACTTATTTGGATACTATAAGTCTCATCCCCTTTGTACATTTATACCCCCACTCCCGGATACTATTTTGTAATAGCGTAGATTTTACATTTCCGCAATTTACAGTTTTCCAATTATACCATGGTTAGACCTAGGGTTTGCATGTACATAAAATCAAACGCTAGATAACCTAATACAAGACAAATACATGTAATCAATACACAATCACACTTGCACCCTCTAGGGTAATCCCACATGTTGCCTTCCAAAATGGGCCATGCTTGCACGTCGAGTATCTTTGGCAAAACAAAATCAAATGATCATAAGTCCCTCAAAGTGTTGCCTAAACGGAATGATCGTAGTCCCTTCAAAGCAAATTGCCAAAGACACTTGGCATCATTGCATTCATGGTCCATACGATGACCCGCGCCCGTCCCGAATAAACTTCCTAAACGCAAGATTGTCTACCAATTTCAATGGTGGAACAAAATTGTTAAAAAGGGTTAAAACATAACAAAAACCTTTGAGTACAATAGGGTAGACAAAACTCTTAGTCACTTGAGATCAAACTTGCAAAAAAAACTTACCTTCTTTTCAAAAACCACAATCCACAACACTTTCAAACAAACTCTCAAAAACATTTGAAAACATCTTTTCGAAAAGATTCACACTTTTGTAAAACACTCAAACACGAGTCAAATACATTAGTTGCCTAAGACAAGGCATCTTTTTTTCCAAAACATTTTCAAAAGCACCCACACACACACCATCTTCAAAGCAATCGAAAAACAAGGCAAGTGATCTAAAAAACCAAGTAACTAAGAGCCCATGGAAAACCATGGATGAAAAGGGTGCTAATACCTTCCCTTTTCATAATCTACCCCCCGAACCCACGAAATATCTCAAAAGGTTTTTGCTGTGCTTTTTTAACCTTTCCTTTAGGATAAAATAAAAAGTCGGTGGCGACTCTTGCTCAACCGCACAAGTGCGAATACGAACGCAAAAACACAAGTCAGTTCTCCCACCATATCACAGCTGGGTTATAAAACACTCTTTATAATTTATCAATGTCTGAGTCCAGAAAATTTTGAAAAAATGAGTGATTCAGAATCTGCAAAAGAAGCTTGAGAGGTTTTTGAGAAGTCTTTTGGTGGTGCAGAAAATGTGAAAGAAGTGAGGTTACAAACTCACAAGAGAACGTATAAATTGCTTATGATGGAAGATAGTGAGAGCATATTTGATTTCTTCACTAGGGTTACAAAACTAGTGAATCAAATCAAGATATATGGAGAAACATTAACAATAAGAGTTGTTGTTTTGAAGATTTTGAGATCTTTGGCTCCTAAGTTCGACCATGTGGCAGTGGCTATAGAAGAGGGGAAAGACATGTCGAAATTGACAAAGGAAAAGCTTCAAGGGACGCTTGAATCTCATGAACAAAGAATGACTGAAAGAGCTGCAGGCAAGTCGAAGAGTGATGTGGCTTTGTAGGCACAGTAAAAGAAACCAAAGGTGAAGGAAAGTGGTTCGACAGGGGTAGAGGCAGCTACAACAAATCGACTGGTAGAGGAAACCAAAACGAAAGAAACATGTCGAATCAGAGAAGACCATACCAAGACAACCAAAGAGGTGGTGTTGCAAATAGAGGAAAAGGTGGTGATCAAAAACCTGACAAGAGTCACATTCAATGTTACAATTGTCATAAGTATGGTCACTATTCGAGTGATTATCCAGAAAAGCGAAAGAATCAAGAAAGTGATGCAAAGTTTGCAAAACATGAAGAAGAATAGATATGCTAATGGTCACAACAAGATATGAAGATAAATTCAAGGACCAATGGTACTTGGATTCAAGATGCTCATCACACATGTTTGGAAGGAAAGACTGGTTTGTCAACATAAAGCCCTCAATGAAAAATATGGTAAAATTCACAAGTGACAATACCCTAGCAGCTGAAGGTATTGGTGATGTTATGATTATGATGAAAGATGACAAGAGGTCAGTAATTTTCAATGTGTTGTACATACCAAGCATGAAGAGCAATTTGCTCAGTATAGGGCAGTTGGTCGAAAAGAATTATAAAATGTTGATCAAAGATAAGATGATGAGAGTCGTCGATGCAAATGGAAGATTAATCTTGAAGGCTCCTATGTCTCAGAATAGAACCTTCAAGATCGAACTAAATGTGATGGAGCACAGGTGCCTTTCTACTGCAGCTAGCAGAGATGAATGGATATGACATTATCCACTAGGTCATCTCAACTTCAGAGACATCAGAGATTTGAAGAGAAGAAGTGTGGTTTCAGGATGAGCACAAATTGACATTCCAAATAAGGTATGTGAGAAATGTGTACAGGCGAAGCAACACAAGAATAACTTCAGCAAGGATGCATGAAGCTGGTCGAAGGTTATTCTTGAAGTCATATACTCTAATGTATATGGACCAATCTAGGTGGATTCGATGGAAGGTAACAAGTACTTTGTTAGATTCATAGACGAGTTCAATCAAAAGTTGTGGACTTACCTGATCAAGAAGAAAAGTGAAGTGATCGAGGTATTTGCCAAGTTTAAGTCTATGGTCAAAAGACAAAGTGGTCGAAAACTCAAAGTTTTGAGAACTGGTGATGATGGAGAGTATGTGTCGAAAGATTTCGACATGTTATGTGAAAAGGAAGAGATTGTGCATGAGGTGGTGCCACCCTATACTCCACAACATAATGGAACCGCAGAAAGGAAGAATCGAACCATCACGAATATGGGGAGAAGTATGTTGAAAGACAAGAATTTATCTAAAGAGTTTTGGGATGAAGCCGTGTCGACGGCAACATACATTTTGAACAAATGTCCTACAAAGAAGCTAAAAGGAATTACTCTAGAAGAATTTTAGTCTAGTGTGAAGCCTAACTCGAGTCATCTAAAGGTATTTTGATCTATTGCACATAGACATGTGCCATATCAGTTGAGAAGAAAACTTGATGACAAGTCGAGTCAAATGATTCTAGTTGGATATCATTCGACAAGAGGTTACAAATTGTTCGACCCAGTGAACAAGCAGATTGTGATTAGCAGGGACATGATCATAGATGAGCTTAAAGAATGAGATTGGACTGAAAATGTCAAGAAAGATTCAGTGGGAATCCTACTTGAAGAACCAGAAACTCAAGTCGAAAGAGAAGTGCGACAAAAGGAACCAACAATTATAGATCAACCAAGTACAAGCAGACCTCAAACAACAAGATGTATGCCTGCAAGATTGTAAGATTATGTGATTACTTCAGATGATGTAATAGATAAGGAAGGTGAGTTGGTACATTATGCTTTCTATACAGATGTCGAACATGTCAATGCAGCTGAAGCATTGAAGGATTCGAAGTGGGTGAAAGCAATGAACGAAGAAGTGAAGTCACTTGTCCTTCAAGATTAATAAAAATTTATCATAGATATTTGATGGATTTCTAATTGACAGAAGAATTAGGAATGAGAAGATTTCAATTATGTAACTGTTATATTTTAAAGAGCGAAAAAGAAAAACAAAAAAAAAGAGTTAGTTAGAAAGTCACGTAACACCAGAGTTTTCTTATATGATAAATAATAAATTATTTAATCATAACCTATTTTTGAAATAACCGTGAGTTAATTTAGCTTTGCGCCACATGCCCACATATGTGTGTGTGCACGTTAGCATTACCAAACCGGGTGTTTTCAACTTCCAACAAACCATATGCTTTCTAAAATGCGAATATGCGACGATGCGCACATCTTCCAAACCACTCAACACAAACCACGGGCGTTTTCATGTGTTTAAAAAAAAAAACGCAAAAAGCTTCACGACTATAAATTTAATTCTAAATAATCAGATTTAGTTATTTTATTTTGATCTTACTACCTACCAATATTAAAGTTGCTTGTTGCCAAAGAAGAAAAAAAAAAAAGGATTAAAGTTGTCTAAACCTAAACAAGAGCGAGAGTTAATCGGGACTATAAATAAACCCAAAACCGGTTTCTTAGTTTCTCACACAACACGCAGTGTTAAAACTTTATCTTCTCTCTTCTTCAGATCTCAAATTTCAATTCTCATTCACATCGATTTCTCCTCCTCCGCTATGGCCGCTATTACTTCCATCAAGGCTCGTCAGATCTTCGACAGCCGTGGCAATCCCACCGTCGAGGTTCATCTTCTCTTCCATTTGGATACTTTCTAAGCTTCGATTAATCTCCGATCTATCAATTGATTTTCCGATTTCTTTTTTGTTTATTTTCCGGTGGTTTTTTTATTCGTATTAGGGTTTGGTTTTCGTTATTGTGAATTGAATTTGAATCTGATTGTTGTAGGTTGATATAGCTGTCTCCGATGGCACTTTCGCTAGAGCCGCTGTTCCTAGCGGTGCATCCACCGGTATGTTCCACTATTTTCTCCCGATTCTTATTTTCATGCTTGGAAATAACCGTCTGTGATGCTTAATATTTTGATATCTCGCTACTTTTGCAATGTTTTATTAAATAGTTTTGAAGAAAGCCCTCTAAAAAAATAGCTATGTATTTTGAAATTTCCATCGACATTTTTTAGTTTTTTTAGATATAATATAATCTATGGGGCTGATGTATAGCTTGTTTACTTGAATTTGATACGTGTAACAGTGTTTAATTTTGTTTTTGAAACTAATCGATAGGTATTTATGAGGCTCTTGAGTTAAGAGATGGAGGATCTGACTACCTTGGAAAAGGTGTATCAAAGGTAAGACACGTGTCTGGTTTATTATGCTTCATACGTGTGAAGTACGTTAAAAAATAAGCCTCACTTAGTTTAAATTAATGTGAGTATTTAGTTTCAAAACCACTAGTGTTTTAGAAACTTATGTGAGCATTTGGTAAAAAAAACCCTCATCTGATCCTAATTTTCTGGCACCTGCAGGCTGTTAACAATGTGAACACCATCATTGCCCCAGCATTGATCGGCAAGGTTTGTTTAAATTTATTTAATAGTAGTGTTTTCTTGTTAATTATGACCATGATTGTATAGTTCTGGGAATTTAAACATGTTTGATTTAAGGTTAATTCCTTTACTAAAGCTTTTTTTTTAATGAGCAGGACCCAACTAAGCAGACTGAGATTGACAACTTCATGGTTCAGCAGCTTGATGGAACTGTTAATGAGTGGGGTTGGTGCAAACAAAAGGTGCTTAGCATACTCTGCTTGTAATCTTTTAAGTTTTAACTGATTTTTTTATTTTATAATTCTGATGTTTTTTCTCTTTGTTTAAGCTTGGAGCAAATGCCATATTGGCAGTGTCTCTCGCGGTGTGCAAAGCTGGTGCTGGAGTCCTAAAAATCCCTCTTTACAAGGTAAGTCATCCATAAAGAACTGTGACACTACATTATATTTTGTTTTCTCTGTTAGTTTGATGATGGAACCATGAAGTTTCATTACTGAGAATATCTACTACTTTACGATAAACTTGTATTCATCTTTTTTTTTTTGTTGCTATTTGACATTTAAGAACATAGTTACTGTGTGTAATTTATTATACTCATACGGTCAGACCGGTTACAATTATTCTTTTACAATTGAGTGATTAGAATAAATGGTGGAATTGCTAGTTCTTACAGCAGTGACACTCCTCCTTTAACATAGTTATTCACCCACCAATACAGCCCAGTTTTCTTATGTCGTTCATATTTGGTTGAGCTTTTTTCTTGTTTTTGTGTATCTGACTTTTGTATGGTTGTTCTTTGGGTGCAGCATATTGCAAACATTGCAGGCAACAAAAATTTGGTTTTGCCTGTTCCTGCTTTCAATGTCATTAATGGTGGATCACATGCAGGAAACAAGCTTGCTATGCAGGTATATTTTCATAAACTGCCCGTGTGTTCTTGTGTGCATGAATTTAAGAGATCGATAACACATTGAATAATTGATATATAATGCATGTGCAGGAGTTTATGGTTCTTCCTGTGGGAGCCTCCTCTTTCAAGGAAGCCATGAAGATGGGTGTGGAAGTCTATCACCATTTGAAGGTCAGTTTGCATCCTACATTCGTTTAGCTCCTAATAAAATGTATCATTTAAAATTTGTCAAACTTTTATAATATCAAATGAAGCTTTTCATTATTCCCCTGCTAAGCTTTGTTTTTTACCAGTAATTAATTGGGTGCTTTTACCGGAAACCTAACATATGAAAGTTTCCTGTATCATGGCCTGCTAAGCCCTGGTGTCTATTCACATATGGTTCGTGAAATTGATTGTAGAGCTATACCAGTGTATTTTTAGTAGTTGTTAATGTTGGGTTATGCTAATGTCATTTCAGGCTGTGATTAAGAAGAAATATGGTCAAGATGCAGTAAATGTTGGTGACGAAGGTGGCTTCGCCCCTAACATTCAGGTTAATGATGGTTTTTAACGTGTTTCCTTATATGCAATATATTTGGGTACCACCTCAAATTTTGGTCTGTTGCTGATGTGCTCTTTGGCTTTCAGGAGAACAAGGAAGGTTTGGAGTTGCTAAAATCTGCCATTGACAAGGCTGGATACACTGGCAAAGTTAGATTTTTACCCTCTTACTAAAATTTTGTTTTGGTGCTTTGGCTTCTCAAATGTCTTCATTTTAAGGAAGTTTGACATTTTGTATAATGTTTTTAGGTTGTCATTGGAATGGATGTGGCAGCTTCCGAGTTCTACAAGGAAGACAAATCATATGATTTGAACTTCAAGGAAGAAGTGAGCTCCCTATCTTTTTACTGTAGTGCTTTTAATTAAGCTCTACCTGTTAGTCTAGTTGGAAATTGATTTGCATTATAGTGACTCACAATAAAGAAGCATAGTATTAAATTATATCAGGGATAATGTAGTATACACCTTAATACCAGGGGTTCTATCAGAATCCTTAGTAACAATAGAAGCAGTTTATTTGGCAAAAACAAGTGGGTATAAATTATAAAATACCTGCCCCTTTCTAAGATGGGTTAAGAATTGAATGTCTTCTCTTCAATTTTTGCTGTCTTGGTAGCCATTTCACATGCGTGATTTTTATTGAAGTAGTTATGTAACATAACAGCATAAGCTAACATTTATCTCTTTGGCATTTTGCTGTTTGACATTTATAATGATGCATAATTAGATTATTTATCACTTTGGCATTTTGCTGTTTGATAATCCAGAACAACGACGGCTCTCAGAAGATCTCTGGAGAAGCTTTGAAAGATCTCTACAAGTCTTTTGTGTCAGAGTACCCAATTGTTTCAATTGAGGATCCTTTTGACCAGGATGACTGGGAGCACTATGCTAAGATGACTGGTGAGATTGGAACCAATGTGCAAATTGTTGGTGATGATCTCTTGGTTACCAACCCCAAGGTCTGCATATTATACAACTTTTTTATTTTGTTGGGAGATTCTAAAAAGATTGTCCTTTTAACTTGTTGCGTTTTTCGATTGTGTATGCAGAGGGTTCAAAAGGCAATTGACTCGAAAGCATGCAATGCTCTTCTGCTCAAGGTAAATAAATATATTGACACTAGTGAATTTTTTTCTACAGAGAGTTATTGAGCCATTAGATAAATGTATCAATACACTTTTGCTTTACATACATGAAACCAACAGGTGAACCAAATTGGATCAGTGACCGAGAGTATTGAAGCCGTCAGGATGTCCAAAAAGGCTGGATGGGGTGTCATGACAAGTCACCGAAGGTTTGAACCCTGCCTATAAGATATTTAACTGTTAGATTTTTCATAAGGCAATCACTTATATAGTACTGACATTCTTATATTTTGGTTGCAGTGGAGAGACTGAGGATACCTTCATTGCTGATCTTGCTGTTGGTTTGTCAACGGTATTGCCTTACCTCAGCTCAACTGTTGTGCTATGAGTCTGTCACTCACCACTATAATTATCATGTCCGTTATAATAACTTTTACATTTTGTTAATTGTAACTTGAAACAGGGTCAAATTAAGACTGGAGCTCCATGCAGGTCAGAGCGTCTTGCTAAGTACAACCAGGTTAGTGTTTATTCGTTACATCTGGTTCTGTTTTCATCGTTAAGCTTAAGCATGTTCTGAATGGTTAACTCATTTGGCAGCTCTTGAGAATTGAGGAGGAGCTCGGTGCTGAAGCAGTGTATGCTGGAGTTAACTTCCGTACTCCTGTTGAGCCCTACTAAAAAGCTTTTGAAAGGGGGAAAACCAGATATCCAACCTGAGTTTTGAGCAATGAGATTTTGGCTGCAGAGTTTTTAGTTGTGATGAATAAATTGTAGTTTAGATTGCTAGTCAGTCTTCTTTTGAAAGACTTGATGATAATAAATTTTGACCTCTAATATACGGGGCTGATAAAGTCTCCCCTGGATTTTAAAAGTTGTTTCAATTTCTGGGTGATATTTTGCTTTGATTGATGCTTGCAGCCTACACTTTCAGTTATGTTCCATTTCTTAATCTGAGTATCCCTAATAATTTTTTTTAACCAGGCCCTAACAAGAAGTACTACAATTTTTTAAGAATTTTTCAAATTCATTTTTCTATATGCTCCAATTTGTCCAAATAATTTTTTTCACTCTTTTATAGTTGACTAGTAGGAGTACTGATGCCGAATGTATGATTTTTTTAAAAAAATGTAAAAAAAGTTAAAATAAGAAAATTTTAAGTGTTTTTCATAGTTTAATATTTAAAAGAAGACATTTTTTAAAATACAAAAAAAATTGTTTCATAAAATTATTTTATACCAATCTTTTAAAAATCAAATTAGAAAAGTAATATGTGGATCAAAGTTTAATCAATTAAATTATGGTTGAAGCGTATATTAAATTTAAAATAAATAAATAAATTATTAAACATCTTAATAATGTTAATTTATATTATGTAAAATAAATTTTCAAATATGTATGATAGATACTCTAATAAACAACCTTACAATAAGATAATTTATATTATGTAAAATAAATTTTCAAATATGTATGATACTCTAATAAACAACCTTACAATAAGTATCAATTATCCCGTGTTCACAAATATTATATTATTTTTTTTCTTTTTATTTACATTTAAATTGTCCTATATTTTTTTATTTTATTCTTTATTTCTCATCCATGCAATTTTAATAAAAAAAATAAAAATAGAGTAAAATATTTAAAAAATTATCTTTGATTTTTTAACCTTCTAGTTTACCAAATAAGATTTTACGGCATATTTTGATTTTTCGCGATTCAAGTAATTTTATTTCAATTTTATAGACTTAACTATTTATTAGTTCAAATCAGGATTAGACAACGTTTCAAGCTTGAACCGGACGACTCAATCCGATTTTTAAAACATTAATATATTACAATTTTTCACATTTTATCTAAAAAAATATTATATTTTAAATTAAAAATAATTTCAAAATAAATACATATAATTAAAAAATAATATATTTTTTCTGTGTTCAAATTTAAACATTATTTTTATTTTTATTTTTTTGAATTGTATAAAAAATATAAATTCGTGCGTTCGCATGAAATTTGATATGATTATCCATATATTTACCTGGTACTTGTGTTACCCGTACGTTCGTAGTTCGTACGGATACTAGTGTAGTATGTGCATTATTATATTTAAAATATAATAAAAATAAAAATAAGAAAAACAAAATTGTTTTATAAAATAGTTTATTATTTTTAAAAGAAAAACATATTTTTAATATAAAAATAAAAATATTACACTAAAATTATATTACATCAATCATTTTTTATATATTATTTTAAAAAATTTGTATCTTAAAATAAAAATAATTTTAAAATAAAAATATTAAATACATAAATAACAAAAAAACAACATATTTTTCTTGTATTTAATTTGATATATTATTTTTACTTTTATATATTTTTTTTAATTATACAAAAATATAATAATCATTGTGTTAATCTAGATTCTAATATAAATATCGGTGTGTTTGTCGTACGTATCCTTTTTTTTTCTTTCAAAATATAATAAAAATATAAATAAGGAAAATTAAACTGTTTTACCAAAGACATACTTTTAAATAAAAACAAAATCATTTTACAAAAATCATTTTACAATAATAATATTTATATATTATCTCAAAATATTCTATCTTAAATTAAAAATAAGTTCAAAATAAAAATATTAGATACATAAATAATTAAAAACTAACATATTTTTTCATGTTTGAATTAATATATTATTTTTAATTTTATTTTCTTTAATTATATAAAAATAGTAATAACTCGTACGTTCGCACGGATTTTAGTATTGTTACATGTGCGTTCATACAATATTGGTGTGTTACCTGTGCAGTACATGTGTTGTACGCATATTTTTATTTTTAAAATATAATAAAAATATTAATAATAAAAATAAAATTATTTTATCAAAATAATTTATTATTTAAAAAAAACAATATTTTTAAAATTATATTATTTCTTCTCTTTTTATTTACATTTAAATTGTCTTATGTCTTCTTATTTTATTCTTTATTTCTCATCTATTCAATTTTAAATGTTTGCTATAATTAATTTTGTAGATTTAAACAAAAAATAAAAATGAAGTAAATCATTAAAACAATTATCTTTGATTTTTAAACCTTTTAGTTCACCAAATCGGATTTTACGGTTATTTTGATTTTTCGCGATTCAAGTAATTTTATTCCAATTTTATAGACCTAACTGTTTATTAGTTAAAACCAAGATTAGACAACGGTTCAAGGTTGAACCGGCCGGCTCAATCCGATTTTTAAAACATTGATATATTACAATTTTTCACATTTTATCTAAAAAAATATATTTGTAATATAAAAATGAAAATATTTTACTAAAATTGTATTACATCAATAACTTTTTATATATTTGTAATTTTTTATATATTATTTTAAAAAAAATTGTATCTTAAATTAAAAATAATTTTAAAATAAAAATCTTAAATACATAAATAACAAAAAAATAACATATTTTTCTTGTATTTAATTTGATATATTGTTTTTATTTTTATTTTTTTAATTGTAAAAAAAATATAATAACCATCGTATTAATCTAGATTCTAATATAAATATCCGTGTGTTTGTTGTACGTACCCTTTTTTTTCTTTCAAAATATAATAAAAATATAAATAAGGAAAATTAAACTGTTTTACCAAAGACATATTTTTAAATAAAAACAAAATAATTTTATAAAAATAATTTTACAATAATAATATTTATATATTATCTTAAAAAATATTGTATCTTAAATTAAAAATAATTTCAAAATAAAATATTAGATACATAAATAATTAAAAAACAACATATTATTTCATGTTTGAATTAATATATTATTTTTAATTTTATTTTTTTTAATTGTATAAATATAGTAATAACTCGTACGTTCGCACGGATTTTAGTATGGTTACATGTGCCTTAATACGATATTAGTGTGTTACATGTGCGGTACATGTGTTGTACACATACTTTTATTTTAAAAATATTATATAAATTTTAATAGGAAAAATAAAATTATTTTATCAAAATAATTTATTATTTATAAAAAAAATATTTTTAAAATTATATTATTTCTTCTCTTTTTATTTATATTTAAATTGTCTTATGTGTTCTTATTTTATTCTTTATTTTTCATATATGCAATTTTAAGAATTTTTTTTATGAATAACCATGTATTAAAAAAAAATTTCACAAATAACCGCGTTTCAGAAAAAATTACGCAAATAACCATGTTTCAGATGACTCCCCAAAGGAGGAGCCATCTGAATTGGCGCATGGACCCATTTTTTAAGGGGAGGCGCCATCTCACTTGACGCCTATGTGCTTAGGGCATTGCCCTAAGCCAAGTGAGATGACGCCTAGGTGTTATTTTAGGGCAAAATCTGATTTTTTTTGTCCGGTGCGTTGCGTGTTGGATACAGGATCAACAAAATGGACTTTTTATTAAAAAAATAATAATTACATCCAACTGTATTACATTAAAATAACAGATAAAAAAAAAACGGATAAAAAAACCCAGGAAAAAAAACCCAGATAAATCAGTGATCCTCCGGAACCCGGTAATGACCCCCGGTTCCGCATCCCCGTCCTCGTCTTTCTCGTGCTGGGTGTCGTCGTGTTTCCTGCTGCGGCAGGGTCGATGGCCCAGCGAAGTCAATGCGGTCCAGATCCATAAAATCAGTCAGATCTCCATATCTAGAAGATCCGCTTTGGTACAGTCGGTTACCCATACCCTCAAAGTTTGGTCGTGTTGGCGGTGGGTGGGGTTCCATAGTGGGTCTGTAGCATTGATCGTCTGAGTACGGTGGATAGAAAGGAAATGGATCTTGGGGTGTTTGGTATTGAGGATGTTGAGTGGTTTGGTGATATTGTGGTTGATGGTAGGCTGGGTCGGTTTGTTCGTAATCTTCCGACATTCCCATATCAGGGCTAAGGCTGGATGTTGAGGGGTCCATATTGTGATATACAGAAGACTGGAATTGTGTGTGGGGTATGCGGGTGTGCTGGTATTGTGATTAGTATTGTGGTTGGGTGTGAGGCATATCGGGGTATTGGTAGTGTGGTGGTGATTATGGTTGGTTGTGTGGCATTTGAGTGTAATTATGTTGTGGTGGGGACTGTGGTTGGGTGTTTGTGGGTCTGTTTCTTCTTGGGGGTTGGTGGGAGGTTAATGGGTTTTGGGTTTGTTGTTGGGGAAATGAGGGTTGTGCCCATTGTGTGCGTGGGTCAACCAAGTACCTTGGATGAGACACGTGCATTTCAGGGTTACTAACCGACCTGTACCAAGGCAAATATTGATCAGTGTGTCGCATATTACCTTGATTAAGGAAAACCGGGAATTGCAAGACATAGCGGTGACGCCTCTGCCACATCTTACACCATTTCAGAGCGAAGTCTTTCCAGTTGGTAAGACCCCACTGGGCGTCGATCCTTTTAAGATGCCATGAGGACAAACAAGTTGGATCACTTGGTATCTCTTGATGCATTCCGAACTGCATCTTCACACGGTCGCTGTGGTGCATCTCCATAATGTTGAACCGAATGATTGCAGTCTTCGCGGTCCAAGTTGCTGCATCCTCCGGGTTTGGATCATGGCCCAAACCCAAATATGGTCTCCAGACGAACTGCGATAAAATTTAAATCAGGTTAACGCAAAAGTAATTTATAAATAATTTAAATGAAGAAAAGTTAATAGCT